CGGATGGGCGGGCCGGCCGGCAGGCGGCGGGGGACGGGCGGCTCCGGCAGCTCGGGTGCCCCCGGCAGCAGAAGACCAAGACGTCCCCGGCTCCGACTAACAATAGGCTCTGGCCGCAGCGCTCCGGCTCTTATAGGCGCCGGCACGTCCTGGCCGAGCCCCGGGGCAGCCTGGGAAATGGAGTCTCCTGCCGGCCCCCGCTCAGAAGCATGCCGGGAGTTGAAGGCGACAACTGCAGCAAAGCCAAAGCCGGCCGGCAAACAGGCTCCGGAGGTGGTGTCTCTGCAGCGGCGGACCCTGGGAAAGCGAGTTTGATGCCGCTGCAGCCTTTTGAAGGGGAAGAGAGGAGACCCCAGCAATAGAGCTTCAATGACAACGAATTCTGCCCTAGAGCGCCCCTTTTCTTTTGCTAAGACCACACTCTCATGCCAAAGGAATATTAATCTCTCTTCTCATGGGTCCTGGTCTTCAGCAGTAAGACTTCCTGCAGCTTGCCCAAGTTATTAAGAATATATAGGCACTATCTTGAGTTATCTACTTATATAATAGACTAATTTAGGTGTTTTCTTTCCACACAATTTTTACCATTATCTTTTATCTTCACAACTTTGAAACCTTTTTTTTCTTTTTGTTCTTTTTTTTTATTGTGAGAGGGAGAGAGGCAGGCACCCTCAAAAGGTCTTCATGCAGCGATCCTCCTGCCAGCTCTGCAGCCAGGGCGCACCCACCGGGTTGAGGTAGATCCCAGACTCTAACCTAGTCTTCCTAGTCTCTGTATCCTGCATCAACAGGCCCCTACTACCTGCACCAGGAAGGCTGGTCCTCCAACTCATTTTTTAAAAAAACGTATTTATTGGGGAGCACCAGATGGCATAATGGCTATGCAGCTGGACTCCCATGTGGTGAATGTGGTTCCAGTCCCAAACCCAGTGGCTTGAACTCATGGTGGGTGCGTGAGTGTGCATGCCCAAGATCCCTGGAGAAGGGATTGCTGCATGGCCATCCCCCCTGGGGGGTGATTTCTCTCTGTCTCTGTCTTGTCTGTCTCTCTCTCTGGCAAGTGCATACACCCTATAGTGAAAAACACTCCCCCCCCCAAATAATTTATTTTTAATTTATTCTTATTATTTTCAATCTGCTATAGGCTCACCAGAGAGAATGGGAAAGTAAGAAAGTAAACCACCAGGGCTGGTACTTGAACCGCAATCAGCCATGTGGGAGTCCTGTGCCTCAACCA